GAAGAGTGAGGGGGGACTTGATAGCAGCCTTCAACTTCCTGAAGGGAGGTTCCAAAGAGGATGGAGAAAGGCTGTTCTCAGTAGTGACAGATGGCAGAACAAGGAGCAATGGTCTCAAGTTGTGGTGGGAGAGGTCCAGGTTGGATATTAGGAAAAACTATTTCACTAGGAGGGTGGTGAAGCACTGGAATGGGTTACCTAGGGAAGTAGTGGAGTCTCCATCCCTAGAGGTGTTTAAGTCTCAGCTTGACAAAGCCCTGGCCGGGTTGATTTAGTTGGAATTGGTCCTGCCTAGAGCAGGGGGCTGGACTTGATGACCTTCTGAGGTCTCTTCCAGTTCTATGATTCTATGATTGGGGGTGTCCCTGCCCCTAGCGAGTCAGCTGCTGCCCCCATGCTATGGACTCTGCAATATAAGGCTCCCCAGGAGTGGGGCTGGCAGAGCCTGGAGAGCTTTGCCAGCCTCGCTCCCTGGGATTTACCCTACTCACAATAGGGAGCCGGCTACCCCCGCTGTGGGTGCTGCAATACAAAAGCCTGCAGCATGGGGTGGCCAGCCAGCTCCCCAGGAGCAGGCCTGGGAACTGGCTTACATGTTGCCGACTTTCATACTGCAGAGCCCATGGGGTGGCAGAGGAGTGGAGCTGGCAGTGCTTTCCCAGCCCTGCTCCTGGGATGCCAGCCGTGCTCCCATCAGGGTGCTGGCTGCTCTATCCTGTGGGCTCTGCAGCATGGGGCTCTCTGAGAGCTGGCTGCTCTGTGGCATTTTAACTGTAATGGAAACTGATGATGCTTATTGGTTAAATGGCTAAAGTCTTCCATCCTAATTGCAATAATTGTGAATAATAATAGTGTTATGTTTGTGAATTTTTCCACTGGATAGGGGCATGTTAAGCATCTTCTAGTGTTCTTCAGTCAAGCATTGTAACCTTTGCATGATGGCTTTAGTCACAGCAGTCCAGGAAATGTCTGAGTTTTTGTGGTTTAAGCATAGTATTGACAGTAGATGCTGTCAGAATTAAAACTCTCCTTGGAATCTCATAGATGTTAAAAGGGTAGGATTTTTACCTTTCAACCTTCATGTGAGTGCCCTCTAGGCCAATGAGGAGTTCTCTCTGGCAAATCCCAGAGCCATGAGACAAGTTATTACAATCTTTCACACTAATTAGCCTGTTCCTAAACCAAATTATTTTACCTTTGAAGTTTGATAATCTCTTGGGGTTAAGATTTACAAAAGAAACAACCAGTAGTCAGAAACAGATAAAATTTACAGAGAATAATCTGAGTGAACCACAAATTCCAAAATCTGATATTGTGAGCTTCCATGAAGTACCTTTAGAAAAATACATTTGTGTTTAGCTGATAATCTCAGGTAATTCTCAGATCAAATTCTGTAGGAGGGGAGAAGAAAGCACAACTCTCCAGCAGTCTGCTATTTTCAAAGGCTTTTTAACAATTGACTTTCTGCTGTATAGAACTCTAACTCATGGATTTTGGTTTTACTGAAAAAAAACAAAAACCTAAGGATGGGAAAAAATCATCTTCCCACTGCTTTTCTCCCATCACTCAAATATTTCCATGTAATCTTATCTTGCACTTGACCCACATTAAATCTGTGGCTTGCCAGAAGTGCTTTTGACTTCTTTGGAGATAAGGATAGCATTTATATGCCCTGAAAAAATGATTTGGATTGCATGCTTGGCAGTAAGGAAAATTTGTAATGATTTTTAGTGTATTGAGCTTATTTAACTTTTTGAATAACATGACTCCAGTGATTGGTAATCTATTCAGGACATTGGACACTAATGGTTCTGCAGATATTGTCGTGGTTTATCATTCTATAAATGTTCAACATTGAGCTCAGCTGTGGGTCCTAAAGAGTGGTCCCAAACTGGCAGAAAAGTTACATGCATAACACCTAAAAGGTACCAAGGCACATAACAAATTAAATAACTTTGTTAAAAATACTTACAACTTTAGGTGTGACTTGAGTAGCAATACAGATATTTAAGTACAGGCTATTGCATCAAAGCACCTGGCCAACTTTAATGTTGTAACTTAAAGCATGGAAGCTTTTCTGAGTCAGTCAGCATGTGTGTTCAGCACCAGGAGAGAACTGTGGGAAATCTGGGAAGTTCTATTGTTGCTGCTTGTTTGAGAGAGAGTTGTTGGGAATTGCAGGGAATTCTGTGTTCATATAATCTGTTTTCTGAGGAAGCAAAAGAAGCTAATACACGGTGGTTATATCTTGATTACATGATTATGCAAATTAGGTTTGGGAGTATTTTTTTGTTTGAGATCTACAAAAGTCAGAACTAAGTGACTCAAACTAGATCTTTTTAAAAAAATTGTAACCACTTTGAAACATTCACTGAAGCATTTGAAACACCCACTGCTTCTTAGTCTTATTTTGCACCATCAAATCAAGTTGTTCACAGCATTTATGGCAGTTCACAGAAAGAGACTGATTAGAGATAATAAAATAGGGACAGGTATTTTGTTATAAAAGCCCTTACATTTCTGATGTGTACAAAAATCACATGATCTAATTGGAATAGTGGAATAAATTGGTATCCAGATGACGACTGGATGGCTGCCATTCTTTAGACTGAGAGGATACTAGTGAGTGGGATGAAAACACTGGTAGAGTGTGGGCTTTCTGAACCAGTTTAACCAAAGGTCTGACTTAAAATTGATTTAGTTAAATCAGTGCACCTCACTTATGTACACAGCATCTAATAGTGGCAGTCTTGCCAAGTGGCAGAGCTATTTATTACACAGACACCATGGTCCTGGAGGCCCACGTAGCATATCTTTGTTGCATCTGAAAGGAAAGGCTCAGATTTAGGGACCTTATCCCTGTTATCCATGACTTTT